GCAGCAGAGGTGACACTTTCTGTGTAGCGCTCCTACCAGTTATCCCCCTTCTCTGGTGGTGATGAATGTGCACCAAGAAGAGATTAAATTACTTGCTTCACTTGCAAAATAAAATGTTCTGTGCCCTTTCTTTTTAGTCAGCTTGCTGATTCTAAGCAAGTTGTACTTGCTTACAATTGGCATTGAGCTAATATGGTACTGGCAATATTTGAAGCTTGAACTTGCCTGTTGAAGTATCTTGGATTTATTGTCTTTGATGATGAAATGTTGTATCTGAGTTTAAATTACAGAATCAAAATTCATTCTAAATTTTCTAAGGTACAGAAGTTCTTCCTTTATAGTGACTATTACTGGTTCACACTGGGAGGTTCATTAAGGAGAAAGTTCTGTGGCGTTTGGTCAAAAAAAAAAAAAAAAAAAAAGGAAAATCCTACCATACTTCAGTTTAATCTTCTAAACTACAGGTTTAATAATGTCATAATTACTTACCATATTATCCACCCACATGAAACAAACTCATCTTGTTTTCTGTATTCTTTTCTTTCTTTCCTTTTTTGAAGTCTTAAAAGCTTAGCTTCCAGTGGAAATTGTTCCTAAATCATCTTTCTTATACAGAACTCTTTTCTTTAGTGTTTTTTTTTTTTTTTTGTATTGGCTACTAAAATGTCATGTAGTCCAAAAGTATAGGGTTACATTGCACAGAAGAACTTAATTTAAAAATTAAACAACCCCGTTATTTAATCTTTACTATTGGAAGTGCCTTGATGACTCACTAAAGATTATTAATTGCATTCAAGAAATAATACGAGGCGTTGCAGTTTTCTTAAAGGTAATCCATTCATTTCTGCCTGATACATGCCATGTTCTGCTGATTCTTTGCTATGCTGCAAATACCTGAAAACTGTGCCTGAGTTAAGCGCAGGTGACCCTCAAGTGATTAGAAGCCATCAAGGACCTGGCCCAGGTCTGCAGTCATGGGTGTAGTGCCAAGCAAGACAACAAGCCACAACCTCACTGCATTTCAAGTAACAGTGGCAAATCTAGCACCTCTAGTTCCATGGCAAGGTAATGATGCTATGCAATGGTATGCAAGATAAAAATGTCATGTGATTTTCCATTAAATAAAAACAAAATATCCAATCTGGCAGGAAGACTGTAGGAGTCTGTTGCCTCTCTAAGCAAGGATGGAAGAAGGAAAAGATTTAGGTTTAGGGATGAGAAACTTCTTTCAAAACTTCTTATTACAGTGCTGCAGTTTGAGAAATACACAACAACGGAGGCATGTTTACTTTGTGCAGAATTCATGGCATGATGAGGATAATAAGACCCTCCAAGGCAATAATTGCTTCACTGTAGGGTGCTTCTGCATCTCAAATTGCTCAGCATCTGGGTTTTAAATCATTTGTGYTCCTGGTGGGTAAAGCTGCCAGCAAAACAGGCAGGCAAGCAAGCAGCATTTTTAAACTTACACAGCATGACCATGGCATGTGTGCATTTAGGACTCAGCTTATTACCGTCAGGAATTGTTATCTAAACCATGGAGACAGACACCAAAATAGATCCTGTATGATACTTTTTTAGTAAATTGTTTTTAATTCACAAGAAAACCAGTTGGCCTATGGTTTTAGGACTGGTATTGGCTTGGACAGAAATGAAAGCTGTGCTTGGGAAGTTGAGAAAACCTGTAATAAAWTCCATAGTTCATTTGTGCTTTGGTGAGCAGGTAATTCTCATCGACTGTTGTACTGAAGATAACGAACGCTGAGAGCAGGAGGAGGCTTTATCATATTGTGCCATCAGCTTATAAAGTAGCACTCAACTTGGTAAGAGTGGAGACCATTCTGTAAAAAGAAAAATGAATTATTGAGGTAGAGACTGTCTTTAATTTTTAGTTAGGGAGAGTTAACTTCTCTTGAGGAATGTTCTACCTTTTTTGGTGCATCTCTACTGTACTTTTGGAATACTTACTAGGTATTTCCTGATGCAGTTTCTTCCATCCTCTAAGCTAAAACACACTGAATTTTTCATGGCGTTTGTGGGGATCAGTGTTTTGGTTTTTATTTTTGATGGTGCTGCTGTTGGGAAGTACTCTCAAAAGTTGTCTGCTGAGTACGCAAGCACTTTCCAAAAAATGGTGGAAAAAAAATCCTCTCTCTGTAGCCCTCTAAGCTGTGTGAGCAGCTAATTGAAAATTAGCACTTGTCTATGTGCAGCACCTGTTACAAAGGCAACGAGAATAATGACTTTCCTGCTTAGTCAGAAGTTCTGGCCAGGTGCACACTGGCTTGGTCACCCGTGCAGAGGGACAGTACGTGCAGGTTGAGGAGCTTCCTCCTCTGCCCTCGGAGAAGAAAGATGAGCCAAGGAAGCTTGTGCTGCTGCTTGCTCCTCTTGTGGTTTTACTGGCAGAAGGTTATTTGTGTCAAAGTATTACTTGATCATCTTGAAGGGACTAATTATGGCTGCACCTGGTGGTTTGGCTCTGGGACCAAAAATTTTTTTTCATTTTTACCGGAGGAGGGCTTCTGTTCTTTAGAAGGCTATTCTGTCACCTAATAATTCTCTGTCAGTAGTTTTTCTTGATCTAATCTGTTGTTTAGTTGAGATCATCCCATGTTAGCCCATTGTTTCATCCCAGAAAAAAAAAWTTTTTTTTTTCATTTTTTAGCTTTTTAGAGAAGTTATGAATGTGGAAGCTAAGAAGTCAAAATAGTCACTTGCCTATGATRTTTCCTAGGTTTTAAGAAGAGGTTCAAAGTTTGGGCTTGCATCATCTTGAAGCAGTAGCATCTTGAATCATCTCTTATGCCACTGAAAAGTGAAYACAAGACATGATTCTGCCTTTTATTTCTCTCTCTGGGCAATGATATAATGAAGTGGAAGACATATAAGAGACCAACCTGATCATTACAAAACACTTGTAAAAMACATAGATTTGCTGAAAACTCCTGTGCTCCTGCTGTTTTCTATAGAAAGGCTCCTGCTTTGGTAGCACATGAATTCGGGGTAAAATGAAGGTTGCTTGGTAGCGGTGAAAACCAGTGACTCGTATGGTTTATAGCTCAATTTGTGGACCAGAAACWGGGCTGCATTTGAGTTGTGCTTGGAGCTTTGGGCACGAATGCAGAGCTTGAAAAGTGGTAAGACTGAGCAAAGCAGTGGAACCAGTTCAGTTATTCTTTGTCACCCAGATGATAACTTTCAGCCCAGGGAATTTTCATTTAGCCAGATCCACTGGATCCTCCTTCCTGAGGGCGGGGAAGACTGAGCTCTTTAAGGTGTGTATTACATGGAAAAAGGAAGAAGTGATACAGCTTCCACCAGGTGAAGAAGGTGTCTAGGACTGTCTTTAGAAGTAACTTTTTTTTTTTTCTGCCTCTATCTGTAAAGGTCTAAGACAATTAATCAATAAGCAAGGACATAAGGTGAAAACATATGGTCTTTGATATTTAATAAATGGATTAACAGAGTCCACCGCTTAATATTCAGCCTCTGCCTTAGGAGTATAAATTAATAAGCATTAGGTCTTTTTTAATGAGGAATTTTTCCCTTTTAAAACCTGAATGAATTATCAAAAAGAGCTCTGGCAGAATTTCAAAGACATTTTCTGACCTTCTAGTATTTTGGCCTGCATGAATTTTTAACAGGATGCTATATATCTGGAAGGTCTATTAGAATTCGTCTGCATGAAGCCTCTCTGCCCTCTAGCACCCCCCCTCTTTTTTTTTTTAATGATCAGACAACTGAAGCAGAAAAAGGAAAAGTATCTATAATAGCAAGGGAATATTTAATTTATGTAAATGAAGTTTTAAAAAAGATTCCTTTTTCAAGTTAATAAAACCCCACACGCTGCCTTTAAATATTAATAGTAACTGGCAAAAAAAATTCTTTATTTATTGTGACATTTTCATTTATATTCATTTTTGAATAGTATCAACAATGTAAAGTGTTCCAAGATATGTTTGAAAATGCATATTTTAAAGTGTATAGYATGTATAAGTTAAACGCTTACCGTTATACTTTTAGTCCTATAAAGCACCTTTTTTGCTGGTTTCTATTTCATAAAACTCTTAAGATTTTTTTTTTGATTTTTGAATCAATTTGGAAAATAAATAGATTAGAGTGAAGCAGATGTTTTAAGTATTTGTAGACTAATTTTCAGCATAATGAAGAAAGCTTGTTGTCATTATTACTTGCTTTATTTTTATAGTGGCTTGGTTTTGACATTTTGAAAGTGCAGAACATCTTTTTTTCATTAAAAAAAAAAAAAAAAAAGCTGTAGTTATCCATGCAATTTTTTTAACTGATGATACTTCCTATTCTAAATGCCATTTGAAAAAAAAATCATGAATATTACTGGAAACCAAATTGTTCTGCTTCTCAAAGTTATCTTATCCATTCCTGTTAGCAGGTTAGTGCTCTGAGTCACTGTAGCAGGTTTCCATGCCCCAGTAGCTCACTTGTAGTTTCCATTCAATACCATGAATTCAACATGTCCTCGTGGAACTGCCTGCGTGTGTGGAACATTTGGAAATGTTATGGGACTACTTTAGAGCAGCTCAGTAGTTCAGAAGGCAGTCCTGAGCCTGAGCTCACATACTCTAATCCCATGTTCTGAATCTTCTTTGTGGGAATGAGGAAGATCCACGTCTGTGAGGATGTTTTGATGTAATTGCTGAGACTAAAGACTGCAATAGCTTCTGTTAGAACTTGTTGACTTATGTCAGATACTTTCAAGGGCACAAAGCAAAGCTAGGTGCATCAATATCATCACAGGTCACCAGGAGACCCCGTCCTTTTTGTAGCTTTCAGGTTTTCCTTGTTGTGTCTGTCTTTCATCTTGTTCTGCCAATGCAGCTGGCAGTGTTTCTGAGAATTTTGTGCCTCCAGGAGATAATCTGACAGTTTCCTCTTCACTTGCAGGTGGAGACAGGGCAAGAGGAGGGGTGTGACATCCCCAACAAGTGATTTTGGCTAGAGCAAGAAGTGATACCTGCTGTGAGAGATTCCCATGGGACATATAAAGAATTCATTTATGGCGGTTTTTATGTAGAACATGTGGGTGCAAAAGGAAGAGACAGCTGGATTGAGAGGTGAGAGGCAACATACTGACAGTAGCCCTGAAACTTAAGGCAGGGAAGCCAGGGAGGACCAGAAACACATCTTGGAGCAGGCAGATAAGCAGCAGAAGCCTTAAGGGAAATGTACTAGTGCAAATGGGAGACCTTTGTGATAGACTCTGCTGAACTAAACCTATGCTTTCTGATTCCAAAATATAGGACTTCATCTTCCCTTGCTAATGCCAGAAGTAAAATAAACCTGAAACAGCCATCTCTGACATCACTAATGTCCCATATATATATATGCATATATATATAAAAATATGAAAGCTCCTTAGCACAGGCTCCTCGCATAGCACCGAATGAGCTCATCACCATAATTCATACTTGTATCCCAGGGCACTGTGTGTGGCAGTGGGTGTTGCACAGCCTGCCCGGGCAGCGTGGTGAGCAAACTCCTGCCAGAACGTGGATGTGCAGTGATATGTGGGGGGCACACACTTGATTGCAAAGAAATAAAGTAGAGTTGGTTGGAAAATGAGAGATCAGGTTGTAGAGGCTCCAACTTTTTGCTCAAAGCAGTACTACCTGGAATGATGTAATATAATAGTCATGAGCAATCAGTCGATCGGGGTTTTTATTATTATTATTATTATTATTATTATTATTATTATTTGTCCTTTTGCTCAAGTGCAACATGCTTGAAAAAGTCACGGTTACGCTTTAGTGCAAACCAACATCTACAACTAATCAGATAAATGATATGTGACAAATTCTTCAGAATTATTAATTGTATGCATTGTAGTGCTTGTGAACTGTACACAGGTCTCCCTGTTACAAGACGAGTGACACAGACGTCTGTCCCTGCAAAATCTGAGCATGTACTGGAAGTAGAGCAGCCATGTTACTGTGACACTGTCTAAGGTAATACATTCCGCTTCTCATTATGGTTAATTAACCTGCAATAAAAGTAGCATCAGCATATCCTCAAGGCAACAAATTCAGCATAGCCTTGGTATTTGTGCATGGCATTGTGCTTTGGGCATTCACAGCACTGTGCTTTTACATGGGTTAAAATACAGCTGTGCTGGCTCAAACTTTGGTATAATCTAAATGCATAGGGAGAAGGTGCTATGTGCTTCCAGATGTTTTCAGTCCAAATGCAGAAAAACATGCAAGTTTGACTAGAAAAAAACAAAACTTGCTTGAGAAAAGGAGTAGTAAAACTGAATGGCTGGACCAAATTTCCTAATTTCATCSTAGTGCTGCTTATTCGACTAAATGTCTAGCACCCAAGTACCATCATCAGTATTTGGGAAATAGTTCTATTTGCCATGATATAAACAGAGATCATCAATATCTACTCAATTAAGGGAGATCTCAATGACAGAACTATTGACTATAATGGAAGGAAATGTGCTACACAGTTGATGAATGGCAGAATAATTAAGTAATTGCTGGCGCTTTTGTTTATTTATGTTATATTCTCATTAGAAAGACAATAACTGTGGGGCCTTTTATGCAGAAAGTTGGGGTTGATATTTTTATTTTTATTATTATTTATTATTATTTATTTTTTTAAGCATGATAGTGGGCCAGGGACTAGAAAAAAAGGATAATTCTGTGAACCATCATGTTCATCCTAAGAACATTGCAATGCTATGCCTAACGTTTGCAGGCTGCATAGGGCTATACGCTTGGACAGTATTAATCATGAATAGGCCACTGCACTTGCAAGGACTAATTAGTATTAAGCAAGCTAGATGAGTAGTTACATCCTTGTATGCAGAGAATGTAAAACCAAGAGAACTGGGTGGTTGAGGGCATTTACATTCATATACTAAGTCAATGACTTTCTCAGAGATGGCCAAATCTATGAGCATAAATAAAATTAAAATGCTGTTTTCAGGTGACTAGCAATTTAATACAGGCAGGGAAATGTGCATTTCCTCTTCTTTTTCAGATGGGTGAGTTAAATAATGGCCATTTGAGCAAATACTGCTATTGGAAACTCTAAAGCCATTGGATTTCTAGTGCTCAGTTGTGCTGTTATATTAGTGCATTTATCAATTGGTTAAGATTTCTGGAGTAGAAAAATGGAATATTTCTAGAAGGCACATCAATAGGAATACATTAAAAGAATGAGCAATGACTAAAGGAAATATAGTGGCTATTAAACGCGGGAGTTGAAACCAAAGATTTCAGCAACCTATCCTGTTTTCCATTTTCTTCTCCAGTGCTGTATTATTTCTTCCAAAGGAGGAGAGACACTCAACTCTGCTAGGCGGTAAAAGCAGAGGGTAAGTGGTGAGTGCAAATGAAACCGTGTGAGAATGCTGTCAGTTCAGCAGTACCCATGGTTTCCCAGTGAGGACTTGGGACCTGTTGACGCAATTTCAAATAAATATAGTAATTCAAATTAACAAAATAAGTCTGCATGTTATTTTTGCCCTTTTTTGKTASAGGAGACGGATACTTTCAACRCTTCTATGAGGAAACAATGGATGGYTTAATTTAATAGACTTTACTTCAGAAGTGCCTATGTACTTGTCATTCAWTTCTGTGGCATGGTTTGGGCTATAGCTTGATATTTCTGCTCTTGCATCTGCTGTTTCTCAAATGGGTTTCAGGTGATGAGTCTGTACTACACATTCCTAAGCATTTGTAATGGAGTTGCTTAGGTGATCAAGAGCAAGTGAATGTTTAAGTACATCCAGACATGCAATGTGGCTTTTTTTTTTTTTTCCTTCTAATACGCTTTTGCAAATGAGCTGGCTTTTGTTACAGTCATAGGATATTTGCAATGCATTTAAAATTAATGATATGGAATAGGACTGCTGCTGAAAAATGAGGTATATTTGAAGGGAATAGATTGCCCCATGTAAATAAGGTTGCATTGACTACACATGGAAAACCAAAACCAATTTAGAAATAACGGAGTAGCTGTGTCCTGTGTGCAGGCAGTGGGAAGAAACAGTAATTTTATGATGTAAGCCAAGAGACTGGGAATAACAAACTTCTGACTTCAGTATGTGTCAACTCTGAAGCCACTGCATGTCCTTGAGATGATACTGCATGGCTTCATCTTCCCCTTTTTCTACTCTCCATTTATATGGTAGTTGAACACTGTGATCTTTTTATTTCTCCAAATATTGGCTTGACTTTCAAAGAGTTTTGCTTTGAAAACTGCTTCACCTTTGCTTCTTCTTTCTGCCTATGCTCTTTGATTTTTACTGGCAGGGAAGTTCACACGCAAGACTTAATAATTAGAGACTATTAATAGAGGATGAATTTCAAACTAGTATATACAGCTTTTCAGATGATCTATTCTGTCATATGCTCTTCCAGTCATGAGCTAAAAATTTACTGTGATATATGTAAGCCAAATGAGCTGCTACCTAGATTTTAAATATTAGCTCTAAACGGTGACTATAATTATCCAAAACAATATGTCTAGAAAATAATTAAAATTGATTTGTAATCTAAATGCTGATCTTTACTGCCAAAGATTTTGCATGTGGAAAAAGAAATACCTTTCTCAAATTGGTGCAAGACAAATACATACCTTACATAATAACTGGAAAACTGAAGTTTAAATTTGATGTTGAGCATCAAGCCAGTGTTGGTCCTGTTCTTGTCTACCTATCTGTTCAAGTAGTTGTGTTCAGAAAAACTACTCACTTAGCTAAGAATTACCTTTGTACTGTGACTCAATGGAGCAAGTTTTTATCAACATCATTAGTGTCAAGCATATGATGGAAATGAGAAACTAAACTGGATCCCCATCTTCTGACAAAAGCTTTTTGTCAATAAACARAGGTTAAGTATAAGACTACATTTGCAGGTCCTTTGCTTTGACTTCAGACTGCTCGTGCATTGTTTCCATTTTCTGTAAAATGAAGGMAAAAAGTAGCTGTCAAATCATTATTGTTTTTAGATGCTTTGCAAGGTGCTAAAACTGATTAAATTTAGCCATTATTTTGTAAGGCAATAGATGCTCCTGCTCAGCCTRCTGTATTGGTTTAGGTCCTCTCTACTGCAAGGAGACTTCAGTGTGAAAGGAGCTCAGAGCTCACCTAATTGCATTTAACAGGGTYTGGGGCTGTTGTCAAGTACAGATCRAAGCTTCCTTTTGTAGTGGCCATTAAAACCTTGCAGTTTAAGAAAAAATAATCTTCAGTTCTTTAAGAATAAGTCAGAGGATGTTGTTCTCTTCTAAGTCTGGTTTAGCGCTGGTAGAATGCACTTTGCAAGTTATAGCAGGCAAGCTTGTAGCTCAATATTGTTTGTCTTTATTTGGTTGCAGACATGGGATTTAGTCCATTTGCAGGTCCATTTTTGAAGGAGAAAACTCCTAGGGACATAAGGAACAAATATCTCAAATATTTGTAAATTTTTAGTCATTCTGTTTCTTACTGAAAGTAGCTCTTGTTTCTGAATTACAGAAAATCTACTGTGGATATGGAATTAAAGTAAGTAAGCAGACATCTATTTCCAGTTACTTTCCTGGCTTACAAAAGAATAGTACATAGTAGCACCAAAAGGAAAATGAAATTAAATGCATATTTGTTCTTGAGATAAAGTTAACACTATTCAGTTCTGTGTTTTTATCTCCAATCTGTATGGCTTTAAAGATTTGGATATAATAAAGCTGCAGAACAGCAAAACCAAGACATGATAAAGAAAACATTGTTATAATATATTTGAAAAAATTACCTCAAAGACAAAGTGCAGATTGTTTTTCTTCTCCAATGTAAGGGAAAAGACCTCATATCTTTATCACATCACAATTCCTTAGCATTACAAAGTTTATTCATATTTAAAATTGCCTTTGTATCATTTGTTTTTGTCTCAAAAATTAGTTCATTTTTATTTCTGTGAGACCAGATTTTTAAAAAAGAGCTACTGAAGCTACTGAACCTGAAGCTGGACTTTTTAGAGTCCTCATGAACTTCAGAGGGTCCATATTAGATCTATCCTTGGTCACCATTTTGAGGTTTGTGTGTATGAATAAATAAGCTTTTCAAGTTGAAACCTTTAAAAAGGCTTTTCAAAATGATTCCATTAAATTATGTACTTTGTAAAAGGACATGCATCTGGAATAATTGCAGTKTATCCACTATGCAAGATGATAGTACTGCATCAAAAAGGAAACACATTGAAATGCTTTRAATGTTCTCAATGCAATTTGCACACAGAGGATTGAAAGAAGAGCCAGGAAAATGTCAGTTCCCCACATAGCCTCGTGCAGTGACACAGGTTTACAGCATAGGGGGGCCTGAAGCAGATTTGGCGTATCAAATCCTTCAGGGAGATAGTAAAGCCGTTCTGTAACCCAAATAGAGATATCGGCACATTTCAGAATGTCTCTATTGAAATAACTGGCAATTCAAAAACTCAAGATCACAAGATCAGATTGAGTCATAGTGACTCTTGAAAGGGTTGTTTGAGTCCTTTCTCTCTCTCTCTCTTTTTTTTTTTTTTTTTTTTTTTTTTTTTTTTTTTTTTTTTTTTTTTNTTTGTTAATTAAAATGAATTCACTTTAACAGTTTGTCATAGTCCTTGCAGATTTGGTCATAATTTTGAATTTTGTGTCATATTTGTGTGTTGGCAGTTAATTTGTTGTACAAACAGGAAGACTTCTCAGCCTTCATCACATCCAGTCAATATGAATCTTTCAATGAGGCTGCCATCTACCATCCAAACTATCTGGGCATCAAGGGCAGGGCATCAAGTGAGTGTAGGATATACAATCAAGCGATTTGACTTGACTTCAGAGTCTTGTTCCTAGGGTTTACAAAATCTCTCCTAAACAACGAGATTTGAAGCAAATTCAAAGAGCTGTTTATCCWTTGTTCTACCCCATAGCCCATAGGATGACTTCTTAGTTTGGCTAAGTTCCTGGAAGCAAAAAGTCRCTTACACAGACAATTTCTGTCAAGGACATGCTTAATCAGCTGCACTCAGGTAGGAGGTAACAGCAGCTTTCTCTTGGGCTTTGTAGTGAATCTTTGCATAGACAAGCAACATGTTCCACTGGCAGCTTGAAAGGGCCTCTTCTGTTTGAAGCAAACTCCATGGACTCTGAGCTATATTCTGAGTTACTTTGATAAATGCATAGCTTAAATATTCTCAGCCAGAGAGAAGTTTTTAAAAATTGGTGGACACCTTCCCCAAGGTAGTGAAAGCTTCAGTCRTTGCCCTTATATTTCCTTTTTTCCCCCGCACATTCAAATCTAAAGGAATAAAGCCCATTATATTTCAAGAACTGTGTTTTTATTCCTTTTATGTTGTATATTTAAAATATGGATGTTATATGACAGTATGATTGTAAATGTGGAGTGATTCTCATTCCTTTAAAASTGAGATCTATTTTTCATTTTAATGTCTCTGCTAGCTTTGCATTGCCTGCTCTGCAAGAATTCTGTGAAGGTAGAGAGGTAGAGTGCATCTGCCTTTGTGACCTCTGTCCTCTTCTCCAGTGTAGAGTTGACTTTACCTTTSATATCAGAATGGGTTAGRGTTTTTTGGGTGTTTTTTTTTAAACACATCACAAAATCCCTGTGTCAAAAGAAGTTTAATGTCATTAAATGTTTAATGTGATTACATCCTTTTTGACTCTAAAATTTTCCTTCGGACATAGATAGTTCTATTTGACTAACTGAACAGTGCTTGTACTTAAGATGCTAGTGTGTCTTTATAAACTTATCTGGTACTTTAGGCARTACCAGAATAAGATGTTATTCTTTCCACTTTGTTCTTTTTTGACTGGGCAATCACAGATCGTTATTTGATAACTTTGTATATATATTAGCCTCTTGATAGCATCTCTTGTGCACTTTATCAGTTAATAATCTTATATGCATTGAAAATATTCATTTCTGATTTTAACTATTTTGCTTTCATTGCTTCTCTTTGCATTTCTTTAATGCTGGCAATTTTTGAGTGCCTCAATTGATGTCTCACTCCAGTAAATGTAGGAGTGAATAATTCTCTTGTTACTGTCTCAGGGCAGTCCCTCTTTTTCATCTGGATAAGTTTGTATTCCAGAAAAAAAAATATCTGTTTGGAAATAAAAACACTTGTGTGGCCAAGTGTCTTCTAAAAAATACTGTTCAGTATCTTGGGGGAGGGCAACAGTTTGAAGATGYCTTTTAGAAAACAATTCAAGCCACTGTATTGACTTGAGCTGAACTTCTTTGTGGCGGTAGAAATATTAAATTGTATCCGGTATCACTTGGGAAATTACTGCAGCAGCAATCAGTGTGACCAGYTATTCATATGAGGCCTACAATTTTTTTGATCCTTAGCTCAAATAAAATAGCATGTACTTTGTTTAGCCTGCAGGGCTTTTCCTTTTGGTGGAAGAATAGGTTGACTTTTTTTTTTTCCCCATCCGTCTTTTAACTCCATGTCATAGCTGAGCCTGAATACTTGTTTGATACTCTCACCTGCTTTGATGAGAAGATTTGCATGTTAATATAAGAAATTGGCAACAGACAGTCATTAGGGATCAGTGCTATTGATTTATCCTCTTAAACAGTTTTGACTATATCAGGCTGGCTCTGCAAAGCTACCACAACGTGCCCAAATCCATATTCTTGTAGAAGCAACTGAGGTAATAATGAAGAACATGATTGATTACATCTTTTTGCTGCTGCAGGGATTAGTGTCCTGGCTTTCTGGCTGGTATAGAAAATTTCTGTGTTTCTAAAGACTCAGGAGTTTAACTTTTTTTCTACYAACCTTTTCAGATTTAAGCAACCAAGAGAGCTTGCTAACTTCAACCCACGTATTTGAATATAGATATCCATTCTGGGATTTGCAGTCATTGGAAACCCTTGTTGATTTGCTCAAATCTGTTTGAACTCTTGTTTTCTAATCAAGTTYGGTTTGAATTCTGTACGTGAGTCCCTGTTGCGTATTGCAGGGTGTAAATGCAAATGCGCTGCTGTTGCCTTGCCATTTGAGGTATCATTTATTGATAGCTTCATAGTACCCATTAGCATTTGGTCCAAGCAGTGGAAGTGTATCAGAAATGAGACAACAGCCGGTAACCATCTGAGGGGTCTTAGGAAGGACAGCAACAGGATATCAGCTGCACTACATATTTCAGCAGTATGGTTTAACTGCTCAGTAGAGTCTGGAATTGTTATTTTTTTTGGTCTACTTTTATTTTAATATAGCAATTTTCAAATACTGTTTCCTAGATTTCTACGAGATATTAATTTCTGCTGTTTGGTTGTGCTAAAAGTTGTTTGAGAGCACGTGCACAAAAGGGTCACATCCCTCCCTGTGCTGAGTATTTCTCAGTGCATTACCCCATTATTCCTGCAAGAAAAAAAGGGTTCAAGTAATTTCAATGCTTGCTATAGCTGAACTGAGTTTAGGTTTCTGAGAAATGCAGTAGATGCGAATTGTCAGATGTTGAAAGAAGAGTCAAAATATCTATGAATTCCTTCCTCTATCACCATTTAATGAGTTATATATTGCACTTTATGTAGGGATTTCAAGCTTGATTTCATTTATGACAAGCTATTATGATATACATGTTGAACACAAATTTATGCTATCAGAAAATGATGAAAATTAAATAAGTTTGTAAGACTTTGAACCATTTAAATGCTGATTGAAAATCCTATAAAAAGAATTTGAGAATAGTAATTATTTCATAGTAAATATTTTTAATATATAGTAATTATATATATTTATTATATATAAATATATATATTTACTATATATAAATATATATTATATATATAAATATATAGTAAATATAGTAAATGTTTTAGTGTGATTAAGAGACTACAGCTGACTTACCAGCTGGGATGATTCTAGCCCAAGACGTTCAATGGACTTATGAACCTTTTTTTCCTACAGGGAAGCTTGATCTATCAATGGAGCAGAGGAACTGGAGATGACTTAACAAATTGTCTAGAAGGGAGGTGGCTGTATTGAGTAGCTTTTTGTGGGACCAGATCCTAAACAAGTTGCATGAGGAAGCTAAATCTCCTTGGATTTCATTAGAAGATGCCAGACTCAAGGTAAGAAGTATATGAATACTGGTAATTTAAAAACCTTCTTGCTGTTGTTGAGAAAAGACSAGTCATTGCTCAGGTGCTTAAAATACTCTCTGATTACCAAATGGAAGGTTTGCTGTGTTCAAGTACTGCAAATTMGACCCAGGCCCTGAACATCTCCAGACACCCTGAGCAGTGTCTCAGAAATTCCATGAAGTTAGTTGTTTGTTTCGCATCTTTCTCTGTTCCTATAAACACATGAACAGAGATTCACTCAGCATTTCTCAAGTTGCCATTTTGTGTCAGGACAAGTGGGTGTGCAAAAATAATAAGGCTTCAGGATTATTTTAGGTATATTAACTGTAGACATATCTCAAGGAAAAAATTCATCTGATTGGTATRAAGAATGTTTTCCAGTAATAATTGTGCCTCTGAAACACACCAACTAAAATTAAGACAAAATTTTGCTGCACAGGAAGCCTTTAATAAGGATCAGTGTAGGTTATCTGTGTATGGGAAACATAATTTAAAAAATGAGGCTGTAAAGAGCTTATATATGTGTATATATATTTATGCCTATATGTAAAATATGTCCAGATTTTGGACTCTTTTATAGTGATAATTGAGTTTATACACATGCATGTACACAAAATAAATATATGTGTGTGTGTATATATATATATCTTTTTTCTATGCTATGGGGATACAGGAGTCAATAGTAACAAATGTTAGAGAGTAAGTTTCACATGCAAATAATGGCATTTCAGTGATAAGTGGTTTGGTTGCCAGTATGAAAATAGACACTTGCTGATACCTTTGTACCATRTCATTTATTATTCGACATTAGCATCTGTGAAGTGTTATTTAATGCTCTTCAGCATTGCATATATGGCTAAGTGGCACAATGAGCCAGAACAGACTGACAGACCTTTCTGTCCTTTCAGCTGAAAAGCCAGTCCTTGATGCAGTAGCCCTGAAAGAAGCAATCAACAGATTTACACAACACCACAACACACTAACTTCTACTGCCTGTCCCCAAATCATAATACTAAATTATGTGTTAAAAGGATATTAGGAGCACAGTCTTCGGAAAATCCAACTCGCATYCACTTTGAATTAGCATATAGATGAGCTGAAGTCTCAGATGAAGCACAGCCTCGATGAGTTTTCTAGCATTACGCTGCCTTGTAAGTTARCACTGTCAAAATACAGCTTCGTGAATAAAACCTTCTGCACGTGTGTTTTTTGAAGTGCTGCAAGCATTTGAGAAAAACGTAGTTGCAGACAAAAGGGATGGCAGTGACCTGTCCCTGTGGTTCCTCCTCTCCTGTGCCTTATCAAAACAGGCTTGATATATGTGTACACAGCTGAGCATCATGCATAATGCCTTCCAAGTAAGGCAGACCTATAACCTCAGCTTGCTTTTGTTGCCACATGGAACAGCATTTAACCGTTCGTAGCCCATAAACTATTAGGTAAAAAGAGTTTGTGAAATGCAAGTGACCTTAGCTACATTTTTATGTATGTTAAACATTATTCTGTGCATCCCAGCCTAAATATTGCAAAAATCTTGCAAAATAAGCATAAAACAGATATAAACAGTTATTTATGTAATAGTACTGTAAGCAATTAGATGGACTCAAATTGTTGGCTGAGCACAGGAAGGGGGTTGTCAGCCAAAATATGGTAGGTTGCTCATTGGACAATATAAACCCAAACTGTGCCTGGTAAAGCACTCAAGCAACGTATGGCATCCAATTTCTTTGTTGCTATAGAATGTTTTTATTGTCTGTCTTGATTGAACTGTTTGAGGATAAATACGCGTATCTGTATGAATGATTGACATAGTGCCAAAACTTGTGAGGTTAGGAGGGAGTCCTCTCCAGTAAAGCTGGTATCAATGGGAAGGTAAGAATTGGTGAGAGTTTATTTGAGAATAAAGCACTTTTCTCTGGTGTGTTCTGCATCTGCGAAGAATGGGAGGACTTCTTGTTCATCTTCATATTCCAGAGTTCAGATTCCAGCCTTGTTCGTGTATAGGGAAAAGTGACACTCAGAAGGACCTTCAGCTTAGTTGTGTTCTCTTTCAGTCAGCTATAATCAAGAAGATAAGGATTTTGGCCCACACTATATGTTAAAGAAAATACCTGCATTCTATGAAGAAAAGAGATACAAGATAGGAATCATTATTTTTCTGAATACTTTAGGCAAGGATCAAGTTCCTATTAGTAGCTTCACATCATCACATTAAGAGCTAGTAAAGAATTATTTGGATGGCAGTATAATAAATTGTTAATACCAAGGAAATTATAAAAGTGAATGTGTTTAAATATCTCTTCTTTGAGAAACCAGAAGATATCTTTGCTGAATTGAGACTAATCGATGCCTAAGGGATCTGTTACAGTCTTAGTGCAAACCATTAGGGGTGTTTGCAAGAGTCTTAGTGAAGTCAGCACGCAGTATTAGTCTGTCTGTTGGTAGAGGGAGAACCTATTTGCTTGTATTTGTTTTACTTTAAGTTAAAACAAGGGCATGTGACTTTGAACCTATCATTGCTTCTCATCCCATATCCTCAAGTATGTATTACCAGATCAAGCCAGAACAGTGCTGTTTGCTTTTCCTTTCTGCTGAAAGGCAACAAACAAAAAGCAAGGCACCTAAAACTCAGTGTTTTCCTAGATGTGTTTATTCATTTATTTATCACACATCCAGGTTTTCAAACAGGCTGGCAATGGATTTGCATTCATAAAGCGATATTCTGATTTCATGTATTTTATTTTTTTCCACGAACAGTCCAAATGATTTAAAAAGATGACTTTGACTCATAAACTTTATTTCAAACCTAATTAAAAACTTGTGTCTTTCTCTGTATTTTGTCAGCCTTGTAAATAACAAACACTTTACTTCAGTGTGTATGTGTGTGTGTGTCACACAATGGGAGAAGATCCCAAACAAGTCTTTATCTGAGCTTACTTACATGCTGTTTTGTTTTTAAAAGTACAAGAAGTGTGCTCAGTCCTTGAAGGTATTTAAGTAGCTATATTTTTTTGCCATATATTCCACTCATTTGGAGAGTAAACCTACTCTGACAAGCTGTGGTGCAAGTTTAAGTTGAGCTGGAAGGTGAGAAGGCRGCAGGTGTTATCCATGCAAATGCTGACAGGGCGCAAATCTGTTGTGTATGTCCTTTGGAGAATGGAAAATCTTTGAAGAATTTCTGAATTCTTAAGAAATTATTATTCATTTTTTTCCTTYTTGTTTATGTAGAAAATTCATCCCTGATCATTAGATTTATTGAGATTGGGGCAAGAAAAATAAGGAAAATGTGCAGAAATTTATGTTAATTGTGTTTAGGGCAGAGGATGAGATGCTGATCTGCTCAATGCCCTAGACATCCTGTACTGACATGTTTATCTGCTGAATTTTAGCAGGGAGCTTTTGTACAGTTTTCCATATATAGCTTGCCCTGTAGATATAAGAAGGTGTTTGTTCCACAAGAAACAATAGCAACCAGAAGTGGAAATTACTGTCAGCTCATCAGATGCAATTGAATAATAATGAAAGCTAATGCAAGATAACACTCAAGGTTATTTTTAAATCTTTGTAAAGGTCAATATATTCAATGGTATTCAATTCCAACTGCAGAAAGAGTTGCTCTGCTTAAATACGATGCCCCTGTTGTTTAGTAAAAAAGAGATCCATATGAGGAAGGGTAAACAGGACGATGACTTRTCTGTGTCTTCACGTAATTTTGGAAAATATCACTTGAAGTATCAACTGCTGTTTTTTTACCTTCTGTCTCAGATTTTTGTCCTCCCTTCATCTCCCGTTGTGATGTTCATTGCCAGAGAAAGAGCAAGCTGCCCTCCTCATGGACCTTGTCTAACCTGAGTAGCCACAGAAAGGAGAAAAGTCTCAGGCCAGACTGATCTGATCTCTGGAAGCTCTGGGGGAGTCATTTAACCACTGCAAGAATGTTATTGTGCAAATGTTGTCTCTTAGTCAGGCCTTCTGTCCTGGTGCATTTCATTATTGTGCTGGTAGCAGGAAAAGAACAACTCAGAATTGGAGACTGAAGAGAAATGGGAAAGGGAAAACGTACCCAGACAAACCCTACTGCTACTTATAGAGCATTTCATGTATTTATTTGCAATTCCATGTATTAAAGACTGTGAAAAATGATTATAAATGTAACTTAACAGTATTAAACGTAGAGCAGATGATTCTCAAATAATATAATATTAACTGAGCTGCCTTTGAATGGGAAAAAATGTTTTTACATGAAGGCTTAGCATGTCTTTGTAATGTACACAGGCAAAGTAGTTTAATAGAATAATGTCTAGAGACAGTTTTGCATAAATATTTAGGTACAAGACTTGCCTTTTTTTTTTTTTTTTTTTTTTTTTCCAGTGGGAAATAGGCATTTAAGTGCCTTTGAAGATATTGGCTTTAAGATCATCTAAGAAGGCCCAGGGATTGTGCAGACTTGCAATAAGAGACAGTTTCTACTTTCTACTGTTTGAATAAACCAGCTGGATAAAGGTTATGGGCAAGAAAGAGAAAGTTCAAGGCGAGCAAACAGCTGGATAGCAATCATCATATTAGGATTGTGATTATTTTTTTTTCTAGCCCTTTTAGTAGAATTATGTTAAAATATCAGTTAGAAGGAAAAGAGGAACTAAAGAAAGTGGGCTCAGAAGCAACTGGCAGAAACAACCAGGCAACACAGAGACCTGTGTTAAATAGCCTTACATAGTTGAATAGCCGTATATAGTTAAATAGGTGTGATATATAATACTGCTGTCCAGTATTCCATACTCCTGTGAAAAAGCTGCCTCTCTGGAGCGTTTGTCAGATTTTTGCTGGACAGTCTAGATCAATGTGCGTCACAGCAAAAATTTCATGTAGTTTATGAAAGTTTGGGGCTTGGTTAAAGTTAATTTACTGGGAAGAATATATAATTAAAAACAAAGATGGACGGATTCTTTTAAATATCCATGTTATCAAATATGTCACTTTTGCTTAGAAAAATGAAAAGAAAAAAAATATTGGAATCCAGTGTGGTATGTGTTCTGCCAGGAGGCACTGCTTTGTTGCAAGGCTCCAACTCCAAATAGGAGCAGTGCTCTTAAGAGAGTCTCAAGCAAAAGTTTTGTTCTTTTCTGTGCAGAGCAAATAGACTCCTTCCTGCATAATATTGCAGAGTGAAAACTGTAACATATGAGAAAATGAGCAAGCACCAAGTGATTTTTTTTTGTTGTTGTTGTTGTTGTAGGACTGGTACCTCATAGAGATAAAGTCAAGATCATACAAATACATGAAGATGGTTGGAGTTGAAGTTAGAGGCAGTGCAAGCTGCACAACAAACGCCAAGGTTAGCAGCAGTCACGCACTTAGTTGTGCAAATGCCAGTGGAGTAAGCTAGAAAATCACATGCAAGAGAGGGACAACACAGGGCTTTGACACTAGGAACAAATGTAGAGATTAGGGCAAATTCCAAATCCCATTTGTCTAGACTTAGACACAGTAAACTTATTTTGCAGTGGGAGTCCATATTGCTTTTCATTTGTTTGCAGTTAAAACCAGCTTTTCTGGCAGATCCACTGCCCTTTGGAAAAGGGATCAAGACTGATAGAAAGTGAAGATTTTCCAGAGTAATGAAGAGAGTGTGTCCTCTGGCTCATTGCTGCTGGAAAGTCTCTGGGAGGTCTTAAATCAATGTAATCACACTGCCTTGAAAGTATGCAAATAATTGAATAATATTCTCTGCAAGTCCTTTTAAGGACTATTGAACAGAGCTAATTTACACATGGGATCAAAATATGCTTATTTGCTTTCAGAATGCTTGAAATTGATGCTTTTGGGTATTCGCTTTTGCAGTTTTGCTTACTTCTGGCTCTCTAAAGTGCATGTACCTGGAGACCACTAAACTAATCAAGGAAATCGCTGAATAGCTTTTCTTTATCCATCTGTGGTTGAGTCTCTGCTGCTTTGTTTTCCATTTTGTGTTTGTTCAAGCTTCTACATTTTACATTAGATTAAATGGATTTATRAGAACAGTCCTTTGCAATTAGGTTGGTATTTGGAAGGATTCCTTTATTTTAAGAGGAGCCTCMAGAAAGTGTTGTCCGAGGAGCCAATCAGTCTGGGAGATCAGAAAGAAAACTCTCAGGGGCAGAATCTGATTATCCCCCTAGTTAATTCAACAATTTCTGGATTAATATTCAAATAAGAAGTTGAGATGATGTGTTTAGGAAAAATGTCCTCCTCAAGCCAATTCTTGGCATCTCTTGCAAGGTACTACAGATAAAACAAAAAGGGCATGGATATAGCTGTGCCAACAAAGGTGAGYTTTTTAGCAATACATTAAAATCCTGCCCCCAAACCATGGAAAATATAATGAAATAAAATGTCTTTGATGGTTAGATTTGTATCCTGTAGGGGGGCTGCACAGCTCTGTACTTGGCATCATCAGTGCCTCAAATATTTCGTGGTAGATGTTGAGGTTTTTCTAACTGCATTTTTATCATTACTGTCAGATATTAGAACTTCAAATTAATAAGCGTGTAGAGATAAGCTGTTTCAGCAACAGTGCAAAGATATCAGAGCTGCCTTTGCCTGRGGGAATTTGGAGCTATGCGGACAGTCAGCCATGGTATCTAGCAAGTGGGAATGGTGGGAACGCCACCTTCAGCCTCATAGTGCTCCATGCAGAAATGGAGAAAATAGCACTATGAGTTGTTTTAAAGCTGGTATGACTCTCAGGTTGCAGCAAAATGGTTATCACCAATTAACTCTGGTCTAAGGAGAATTTGGCATAGCATTTTTTACAAATTTCTCTGCAGCTTTTGGTGCATTCTTCCTGTTATCAGGTAGAGCAGTGTGAAAGAACAGTGTCTTATCCCTAGAACTTAGTAGTAAAGAGAATGTGTTTACAGCATGTCTCTGAACAGCACTGCATGGATGATGGAGCACTTTTAAAAGAGTATCTGTGAAGGAAATAAACCCATTAATTGAACAGAATTACTGTGCACCAAAGCTACATATTTGAGAGGTCTCCACAGTATTCAAATAATTATTGAACCATTTGGCACATCCCTAATAAAAACCTTTATCCATTAGCCCCATTGGTGCGCGCTTAGGCAAATTAACTCTTTTATGTGTAGAGCTAAAGAAAATGGTGTGTTATAATTAAATGATTCTTTTGGGGGCAGTAAACCTCTCTTCAAACAGCTTGAATATTAGTGCAGTCGTTTTTCTTTCAGCCCTACTAATCACAGCAAATTGAGCTTGCACAGCTAGAGTCAGGGTGCATGTTACAGGACACTCTGGCAATGGTAATGAACCAATCCCGTAAGTACTGGGGTTGTTTTATAAAARGGTTTTATCTGAAGCTAATGTAAATTTATCTGGACTCTTGCTGTTCATGAAATCAGGTTGTTGAAGATATTTGGTACTTAAGGAAATGTTTAGGTCAAAACCTAACCAATAGAAGTCTGTCATGTTAGTGACTTTGGGTTCGACTGGGAAACATATGGAGATTATGTTCACTACACGTAAAAAAATGCAAGTCATTTCAAATAAATTGCAATTAATTAAACTTGTTCAAATTCTGAACATTTCTTATGCTAGATGGATAAAGATTTCAAATCCTGCATCCTAATGGAACAAATGCATGAAGTCCCAAAGAATGTTTTGGTCAAGATTTCTTGTGTGATTACGGACACTTGGGAGCTGATACTTTGAAATGTGCATGGTTTACTGAAAGTGATGAATACCTGTTTTCTGAAAACTGATCTCTATAGACATGACCCTTTCTGACTTCTGGTTGTAAAGCTAAACGTACCACATTTAAATTTTATACCCTCTTGAGACATCACAAAGCTGCTTACGAACAAACAAACATAATGCTGCGACCTTAGATTTTTGTCTAGTGCATAGAAGGTAATCTTTATTTTGCTATCAATTTTAACCTTGGATATGCATAGATATTTATTGTAATTAGCAGGGTTTTAAATTATATATACTGCCTCTTTGCTGCATGGTGTATTCAACTGTTAATCATGTGGGTTTGTTCCTATACAGCGGGGTAGATAACTGCTCTCCAGCACTTCCCATGTGCTTAGCTGGGGCTAGCAGTCTGCAGCTGGAACTGCATTGTGTTACTGAGAGTGTTGTTATTTTGCTTTGTGGGGGAGAGGAGGGGAGCAAACTTAAAGGTATTAAATGCTTTGGGTTGCAGGAGACCCTCCAGTACCTGCCCTGTGCTGTTACATTCTTCAAGGCAACAAAGAGTTGCCCCATGAGCCAGTGCCATCACCCAAAGCAGCTTTTTTTTTTCATAACTGAAAAGTGTCCTGGCATTTTCACTTATACAATGAACTCAATGTTAGACATCTAAGGTCAGGAAGGTTGCCTATCCCTAAGGTAGAATTGTGTGAGTAGGTTTTGTGATAGTCTGAAGCATGAGTAAGAACAGGAGGAGAGTGTGATTAAGTACCCTCTGAGGATGGACATCACAGTTGTGACAAAATGAGCCAAAATGCAAAACGATGCAAAATGAGCTGTTGCTATAAATCACAAGCTGCTGTAAGCTGCACATGTGGCTTGCATCGGTGGGACTCCCAGCCCATCTTGAGGATACAGTGTAATCCAAACCTAACAAACCTTTTCAGGAAAGAGTGTTTCCAAATGAGCCATCCACGCTTTGGCSCTGCTTTAAGAAGGAAATGAGCACATTTCACACAAGGAATCACAGAAYGGTTAAGGTTGGACATTTAAAAGAACTAAACAGCCTGGTGTAAGCACATTGGCATCTTGGGCCACTGGCA